TATTAGTCAACTGATTTAGGATTTTGAGAGAAAATATGCATTATGAGTGAAAGGGCTTTAGAAGACCAAAGGCAAGAGCACAATATAAAAAGACGAATGAAGATGGAAATTATAAACAAATGATGATAATTGTTATTGCAAAATACAGGCAAAGAAGAAACATTTTTCAGGTCCAAGAATGAAAAGAAGCATAAAAGTCAAACATTGAAACTGCCATTTGATGTGCTAAGGCAACAAGTTTTAAACAATAGTAAACAGAATAAAAAAACCAAACTCAACTCAATCGTTAAAAAATAATTACTAAACAATACGCATTAAAATATAAACAAATCATTTTAGAAAGTTGGAACGCGAGCGAAACTGTTTGAAATAACTACTATGTCAAATTAACGATTTGTTTATATCAGCGATAAAAATGGAGTAGTAGGGTCATTCGAAATAGGTTAGAAGGAGATGGTGGGTTTGCTTGTGTTTGGTGGCGTTTAGTATTCTTATCTCTCATTAAGTTTATCTAGTGATATTTTTTATTGCAGTTTAATTTGCCGATAATATGAGATTTGAAATGAAGAAATATCCTTAACAGTCGGATTTGGTGTCAAGAGGTATTCTTATGCATTGAGCGATGTGAAGTCCTCAGGGAAACGAGAAGTCCTGATTCAAAAGGATAATTGAAGCCCAACCGCAAGTTCAAACTTTCATACATTACTAAAAAGATTTTCTTTGTATTCTATGTGTATGCAATAAATTCGTAGTTTGAAAATGTTTGCCTTTACGTATTCTCATTTTTCTTAGAAAGGAGCTAACATTGGATTTTAATCTTCGTTTCGTAAGTGAATAAAGTAGATTATCATCAAATATTTTACAAAATATTTAGAATGACCAGTGTTGCCTAGGAGTTTTCAGCAGATGGAAATCATGTGACAAATATGTTAAACCGATGAAAATCACATGCAAACATGGAAAACGGAAGATCCCGAGTGATTATTTAATCAATTATAAAATAGTAAGTAGAAAAAAGAGAATGGTAAATGAATCAACAAGTCAAAGTAATATTTCGGTTTCAGAGAACAGGTGTGAAGAATTCGCCACACGTGTAAAAAGGACTAGAGTTGAGACCTCGAGCTGTTTGGATAGTGATGCGGGTAATGGCGTTGTAACCTTGTTGCCTAGGTGCTGAAGCATATTTGTGGCCTAATGTGTTGGAATAAAGGATGTGGGGGGAAGTAATGCGGGCACGTGACGTGTGGAGTGGAGTGGAGTGGAGTTGAGAGACCTCTCCTTGAATGCACAATGTGGACTTGACTTAAGTACGTGTTCTCTATGCAGTAGTGTTGCATGTAGTGGAGGTGGAAGGTGTTTGTTTGTGAGAGCTGTTGTGACCTGGTCGGTGGGCGGAGGTGAGTCGCCACCGTGGGTCAGTATGTGATAGGAAGGATGTTTTGTGCAATATGGCAGGTGGATGATGATATGGGAGGCAATGAGGAGAAGGAGGTGGAGGAGGAGGAGGAAGGAGATTGTGCGTGTTGTGTGGTGCGTCGCGGCGCAGGGCGTTGGTGAGTTGTATTGAGGATATTTAGATGAGACGTCTTGTTACTTTGTTTTTGCGGCAGTTGGTGGCAGTGGCGTGGTGCTCTCCCTCCCGAGTTGGTGTTCTGTGGTGGAAGGAGGAAGGTGAAAGGAGGAGGCAGAGGAGATATGTGAGGAGGCGGCGAATGGAGTAGGAGTGGCGAAATAGTGTTTGCCGGCGTCAGTATGAAGATGAATTTGAGCTACAGGAGTTTGGATAGTGATGTGGGTAATGGCGTAACCTTGTCTCCTAGGTGCTGAAGATCCTGTGCTTCTCATAATATCATCACCATCGTGATGTTGAATGCGTGCTCGAGCAGTTTGGATAGTGATGTATGTGATGGCGTTGTGACCTTTTTGCCTAGGTGCTGAAGGCTCGGAGCGTCGAAGAATTTAATTACCATGGTGAGGTTGAATGCGAGTCACTGGAGTTTGGATAGTGATGAGGGTAATGGTGTAACCTTGTCTCCTAGGTGTTGAAGATCCTGTGCATCTCATTATAACATCACCCTCGTGAGGTTGAATGCCAGCTCGAGCAGTTTGGAATTTGATGTGGGTAATGGCGTAACCTTGTCTCC